GTTGGACGGATGGCTGCCTCAGCTCTGCTGCCGTGTCTTCCAGTCACCTGCAGCCTCCCGCTTAGCCCAGATGGCTCCATTTTCTTCTTTCTCTTCCTTATGGACACTTAAGGAGTCCGACCATGTTGTTCAGGTGCCCATCACAGTCCAGCCCTGGTGAGGTCATTTCTCCCCCTCAGGGAGCCCTGCTTGTTGGAACTGTCTGGGACCCCTAGGCCCATCTCATTTTCTGTGTTTGAGCAGGGGTGAGGTAAAATCAAAGAGGACTCGATGAGCCTCCTTGGGCTGTTGTAAGCAATGACCCTAGGCCAAGTGGCTTCAAACAGCAGAAACGCATTCGCTCAGCAGAAACATTGAAAATCTGACATGACGGTGTTGGCAGGGCCCTGTTCTCCAAAAGGCTCTGGTGGGCGGTGGCGGGGGGGTGTTGGGGGTACTTCCTTGCCCCTTCAGCTTCCAGACTGCTGGTGGCTGCCGGCACTCCTTAGCGCTGCTTGGCGCATGGCTGCATCACCGATGTCTGCCTCCGCCTTCACATGCCTTCTTCCCTCGGTGCGTCTCTCTGTGTCCCCTCCTCTTCTGATGAGGACACCCAGTCCTTGGATTTAGGGCCTACCCTAAATGCAGTGTGATTTCATTTTGAGACCCTTTTCCAACCATCTTTTCAAATGAGGTCAATTCTGAGATTCCAGGTGAACGTAAGTTTAGGGGAGCACCACTTACCCCACTACTGACCTTTAGGGACATTTGTTTCTCACTTAGACACATGGATACACTCTTAAATAATGTATTTGGAGCCAGGTGCGGTGGCTCACGCCTGTAATGCCAGCACTTTGGGAGGCCTAAGAGGGTGGATCACCTGAGGTCAGGAGTTTGAGACCAGCCTGGTCAACATGGTGAAACCCTGTCTCTACTTAGCTGGGTATGGTGGCGCACGCCTGTAATCACAGCTACTCAGGAGGCAGAAGTGGGAGAATCGCTTGAACCCGGGAGGCGGAGGTTGCAGTGAGCCGAGATCGCGCCACCGCACTCCAGCCTGGATGACAGAGTGGGACTCCATCTCAAAAAAACAAACAGCAACAACAAAAAAGAACGTATTTGGGATCATTGTTTTTAGACAGGGTGTGTTTTTAAAATTTAGCATCAGTCATTTAACATTCACGGGCAGTTTTCCATGTTGCTCTCTTTGCAGCCCTCGTTTTTATTGTCCTGCCATGCGAGTGGCAGATGGCCTCATGGTCGGGAGTAGGGGCTCCAGAGCCTGCCCGGGCTGGCCTCCCGCCCGTCTCTTTTGCTCATTGTTATGAGCTGACCTGTGCTCCCCTCCCTAATTCATATGTTGAAGTCCTAATCCCCAGAATGTGACTTTATTTGGAGATAGACCGTTAAAGGGGTAATTAACATTAAACGAGGACATTGAGGTGGGCCCTAATCCAGTCTGACTGGTGTTCTTGTAAGAAGAGGAGGGAAGGATACACATGCACCAGGGAGACCCCGTGAAGACGCAGGGAGAAGGTGTGGTCTGCAAGCCAAGGAGAGCGGCCTCAGGAGAAACCAACCCTGACGGCATCTTGACCTTGGACTTCTAGCCTCCGGAACTGTGAGGAACCCCTAAGCCCCTCGTTTCCTCCTCTATCAAATCAGGGTCTTCAGAGCGCTGGAGGGAGGATTGAAGGAAAGAATGCCCACACGCTGCCCCGTGCGGGGCTGGAGGGCACAGCGGCCGGGTGCTAGCCAGGTTCAGTTCCCCAGCCTCTGCTGCTGCGCAGCGAACGGTTTCTGTTCAGTCAGTGGTAAACATTTACTGGACCCCAGTTACAGCTCTTTTCCCTATGACAGATGAGGCTCTGGCCAGTACCTGGGCACACTATCTCTGGCCGCTTTCTTGGAAGAAAGTTGTAGGTGCATTTTTTTTTTTTTTTTTGAGACAGGGTCTGACTCTATCACCCAGGATGGAGTACAGTGGCGTGATCCTAGCTCAATGCAGCCTCAACCTCCCCAGGCTTAGGTGATCGTCCCACCTCAGCCTCTTTAGTAGCTATGACTGCAGGTGGGTGCCACCAAGCCCTGCTAATTTTTATAGTTTTAGTAGAGACAGGATTTAGCTATCCCCACCTCAGCCTCCCAGAGCACTGGGGTTTCAGGCATGAGCCACCGCGCCCGGCCTTAGTTGCATTCTCCATCCTCTAAGTCACCTTTGCTGAGCCCCGTCCCAGGAGCACCCTGTTACTGCGTGCTCCTGAGCCAGGCCCAGGGGGTCCTTGGCCGGTGGCAGTCAGAAGTCTGCCTGTGCACCCCATGTAGAGCAATCGGGCTTCCCACAGCCCAGGCACATGAAGGCTTTGGGGGTGACATCCTCTCTTTCTCCAGGCTGTCTGGGTCCAGCGGTCACAGCTGCCTCCCAGTCACTGCAGCAGCGTGGGAGATGGGCGAGGGCTCTCAGAGGACGAAACCTCTGCCTGAGGGGCTTCTGTACTTGTAGGGCATTTCACACCTGCGCCAGTAGGGAGTGGCCCTTATGCTCTTAATAAATAGTTTGCAGCCCCCTCCCCTCAAGCTTGCTGGCAGCCTCCGGATCTCAGGGTCGAGTCCTGCCAGCCCGGGGCAGTCCCTGAGCTTCCTCCCAGCTGAAGCAGCCTCCTCCCCTCCCCCTCCTCCTCTGCCCTGGGTGCCCCCAACGCCAGCCTTTTTTCTTCTCTACTTTGAAGTCTGAGCCTCAGAGCCACTACAGGCAAACAGGATGTTCCTCTCCCACGCGCAAAGACTTCACACGAGACGCCTGGGTCGCACCGCATCCTGCTCAGAGTGGCGGGTCCCGTCTGCGTGGACCTGGGGTGGGAGTGGGCACAGGACTGAGGCTGGGTGCCAGCCGGGACCCTGGTGCCACTGGTTTCATTAGTCACATTTGAGCGTTCATTGCAAACTTTGAACTAGGTAAGCCTCGAAAAGTTTCCCTTGGGGGCTCTTGTGCTCGGAAGGGCTGAATAAGGCAGATGGTGGCGCTTGCTTAGCACCTTGGTGGGACACCCTGAAGGAGTAATGGTGTTTCTCATCCCCCACCTCACCCCCAGCTATGATTTTTGTATTTTCTGGGATTAAATTTTTTTTTTTTTTTTTTCTGTAAACCTCAGAAAATTACAGTCACACCTGGAATTCCAGGATGGCTACAAGATAGATGACTGCTCTGGCGTGGCATGGGACAGGGCCTTAAGGAGGCAGGGCCTTGCTGAGCAGCTGGAGGACTCGGGCAAGACTAGAAGGGCACCAGGGGATGGGCAGGCGCTAGTTTAACAGTTTAAAGAAAACCTGAAGTCCCAGGTCTTTCTCTGGGTTGTGGACTCTGTTTTTAGTACAGTGACTCAGGCGGTTCTGCTGTGGTTGAAGCCATCTTGGGAAGAGGAAGGTGTAAAATTTGAGGGTTCCAGTTCCCTCCTGAAGCACCTCCTATCTGCCAAGCAGATGTTCTGAGTCCTTTGAGTCCCTCAGATGTTTATTTATTTTTTATTTTATTTATTTATTTTTTTGAGACAGAGTCTCGCTGTGTTGCCCAGGCTGGAGTGCAGTGGTGTGATCTCAGCTCACTGCAGCCTCTGCCTCCCAGGTTCAAGTGATTCTTCTGCCTCAGCCTCCCAAGTAGCTGGGGTTACAGGCATGTACCACCACGCTCGGCTAATTTTTGTATTTTTAGTAGAGACAGGGGTTTCACCATGTTGGCCAGGCTGGTCTTGAACTCCTGACCTCAAGTGATCCACCTGCCTCCACCTCCCAAAGTGCTGAGATTACAGGTGTGAGCCACCGTGCCCGGCCCCCTCAGATGTTTCATTTATAAAATAGTGTATGTGTGTTGGGAAAGGGCAGCCTTAAAATATGTCAGGGTTTTACCATCCACTTGACAACCCCGTCTGGCAGTCAGCGACATTCTAGACATCTCTGGAACTTTCCACTTGGTTGTTCCGTGTACCAGGGTGAACTGTGTGGATTTTTAGTTGCAGAGCATACTGAAAGTTAAGTGGAAAGGTCTGAGAGAGAGAGAGAGAGAGAGAAAGATGAGGGGTGGGAAAGAGATCATACTTCTCAACAGCTGGAAAAGGCTTTGTGCTTCTCCTTTCCCTGCCCCTTTCCTGGGACAAGGGAGGAGGGCAGATGGCACAGGATTGGGTAGGAGTGGGGGAAGATGAATGCTGGTCACAAGGACCATGGCCCAGAAGAGGTTCAGTGGCAGCCAAAGGAAGCTACTGTGCCTGTGGACAGCCTTCTGAGTGTCTGCTGTACCGGCAGGGGCAGCCCTCTAATCTGGGGCACTTCAGCTCTGTCGGGTGTCTTCTTCACTCACCTGACATACCTTAGACTTGTTTCATTCTGGGGATGTGCTCCCCAGCCTGTCTGATGGCACAGATGTTGGCCTGCTGCAGCTGGCTGCTCTGTTCTTTATTTGGGGCCTGTTCCCTTGCTAAGATCATAGTTTGACTGTCCTGCCCTGCAGTGAGCATGCCTCATTTTGACTCTTGGCACAGTAATAGGTTTGTTTGAGATCTCGGATGCCAGACTTACTGGGAGTCTTAACAATACTGGCATCATATGATATATCAGTGATCTTTTTAACACCACTGCCTCTGCAGAAATGGTTTCTATCCGGCTGCCTCAAGCTCTTGGAGAAATACATCCTTGTGTTATCTAGGCAAATAAAGGGGAGAGTCTTAAGGGACTTCTTGATACAAGGGTCTGAATTAGTGCTGTGTGAATCTATATTTCCGTGGAAAATAAAGGCATATTTGTTCATGTGACTGTCTATATATTCCATTGAGATTATTGCATAATGACCAAAAATCTCCAGGAAATCTGCCTTGTCTAGCAGATGGCTTATTTGAGCTTTCTTAGTGTGTTCTTTGCACGTATTAGTATTCTTTGGCACATGGTAGGTATCCAATACTTATCTGATGAGATGATTTATGGCCTGGATTAGCCTCAGCCTTCAGACTCTTTTTTCTTTTCTTCCTTAGATCTTTAATCTCATGAAGTACGACAGCTACAGCCGCTTCTTAAAGTCTGACTTGTTTTTAAAACACAAGCGAACCGAGGAAGAGGAAGAAGATTCGCCTGATGCTCAAACTGCAGCTAAAAGAGCTTCCAGAATTTATAACACATGAGCCCCCAAAGAGCCAGGACTGGCAGCTTTAAGAAGCAAAGGAACTTCCTCTCAGGACCATGCAGGGTTTATCATTGCTTTGTTATTTGTAAGGACTGAAATGTACAAAACCCTTCCATGGGATATGTGTGTTTTATTAACTGCTTCACCAGTAAATTTTGCATGATGGCTAAGCTAACATAAAAAAAAAATAATAATAACTTGGAAGTTTTAGTTCACAAAACAGAGATTCCTTCAACACTGGACACGTCGAGCATTTTGTAGCTTAATTAAGCCTCATATAAGGCCGCAGGGTGAAACACATCACTACCTTTTACCTTGTAAGTGTTTGCTCTACCTCTCTGGTGAGTGGATGCATGTCCACAGGTCACTTAGTAAATTAACTCAAGCATGAGTTGATCCGGCAAACCCAGGCTACTGGGGGTATTGTCTGCCAGTCGCCTTTTGGGTTAAATATTTCTCGAGAGCACGTTCAGTGCTGGAAAAAGAAAATGAATCACTGACAGCCTCTAAAGATTTGGGAAACTTGTGTGTGAGTGTCATCAAAGGGTTATTATTTCTTGTGTGTGGGTTGGTCCTGGTTTTGACCACAACCCGTGACATTTCATGCAATGCAGATAAATAGTTCATCTTGACAGAAACAAGATCTCAAGCAGGAAGGAAAAGAAACACAAGTGGGAAATTGTTCAGGGTCCCCCTGGCGAGTCAAGGTGGTGTTGAATGGCACTGCAGCACAGGTACGTGCCAAGGATGGAGTTGGTGGGGCTCTTCCTTTCTCCTGTACCCATCGCGGACATACCATAATCCTTTCCTCTCTGCTCCCACAGAACTTACTAACTCTGGCTTGAGACTTCACCAGGAAAAAGAAATGCTGCCTTTCAGCCTGCTCTTCTTGGATGGGGAGGCTGCGAATGGGCCGTGCTTGAGCCAGGCTGTCCCCGCCAGCCCAGGAACTCCACTTTTAGAGCAGAGCCCACCAGGGCCAAGGTCAGGCTCAGTTCCCTTCAGTGAATTGTTCGTGCTATTTGTAGGGGGTTGGGTGCTGCCACCAGGCCTTTTCCAGGATGTTTGCTAAGCCCTTTCTGTTTGTACAAAGTGACCAGCTTCTGTTGCGTGTGAGCCTCCCAACTCAGACTTTCCTGTTTGCAAAATTCCCTAGTGTTGAAGGTGGCTGTATAATTTATCAATCAAACTAGGACAGTTTTCTGAGAGAAGAGGGATTGAGCTTAATAATTAGACTGGGATAATGCCTATTACAAGCCCTAATCTGGTTCTATTCTGGGTCACAGTTACCCTACTGATGGCTGTCCCCCACATGAGCTCTTGGGCAGCCCCCCGGATTCCCTAGCCTCGCTGTCTAGACACTGTGGTCAAATGTTTCCTGCCCTTCCATCCAGGGCCTGGGAAAGGGATGGCCTTCAGGGAGCCGTTCACTGCCAAGCACTAAATAACCCAAGGACATTCATCAGAAACAGCAAACACAGGCTTCTCCACCCTCCTCAGGTACCTCCCAGACAGGCCTACTCTGCACCTGTCTTCTCTCTGCCTATTTCCAGAACCTAGGAAGGAGACGGTGATGCTGAGAATGATACCCAAGGGCCCTGTGATCAGAGAAATTCAGTTCATTGTCAAGCAGAGCAGATTGGCGCTTTATTTATTTATTTATTTATTTATTTATTTTTGAGACAGAGTCTTGCTCTATCGCCCAGGCTGGAGTGCAGTGGCACGATCTTGGCTCACTGCAATCTCTGCCTCATGGGTTAAAGCGATTCTTCTGCCTCAGCCTCCTGAGTAGCTGGGATTACAGGCACATACCACCATGCCCAGCTGATTTTTGTGTTTTTAATAGAGACAGGGTTTCACCATGTTGGTCAGGCTGGTCTTGAGCTGACCTCATGATCCTCCCGCCTTAGCCTCCCAAAGTGCTGGGATTACAGGCATGAACCACCGCACCAGGCCTATTTTTTAATTTTTGAGATGGAGTGTCACTCTGTCTCCCAGGCTGGAGTTCAGTGGCATGATCTCAGGTCACTGCAACCTCCGCCTCCCAGGTTCAAGCGATTCTTGTGCCTCAGCCTCCCAAGTAGCTGGGATTACAGTACCCACCACCATGGCCAGCTAATTTTTGCATTTTTAGTGGAGTTGGGTTTTCACCATGTTGGCCAGGCTGGTCTCGAACTCCTGACTTCAAGTGATCTGCCCCCTCAGCCTTCCAAAGTGCTAGGATTACAGGTGTGAGCCACTGCGCCTGGCTAGATTGATGCATTTTTAAAGAGTAAAAATTAAAAACAACACAGGTTCTCCAGCTCAGCTTTCAGTTTATTAACCGGATGCAGTTCGGTTATTCAGGGATACAGAGACAGCCCACTGCACCACTGCAGACGTAGGGAGTCTTCAGGGTGACCTGACTGGCTGCCTTTGGAGAGCCTGTCGTGGGCAGGTCTCAGAGACTGAAGGTGGGCTAGGAAGCCGCTCTCTGACTTTTCCCCTTTTACCAATGGGCGCAGAGACCCTTTGAGATGGCCATCTCTTTCTAAGAGTTTGAATAAAACAAATAGCCAGAGTTAGCCAGAAGATCAGCCATTAAAGGAATATTCTTCCCCCTGCCCCCACTTAGGAGTTGCCTGAAAAGCTGAAAGGCAGCGGGGTGGTGAGCCTCAGAGTTTAATCACTGCTTACTCCTACTAGTGTGAACTCACGCCACTCCATCTGGCTTACATCTATGCCAGTCGCAGCACTGAGGCATATGCAGAATTTAGTGTCCTGAAGCAATTGCAAACGTGAAGCTGAAGTGGAGAGGATCCACATAGCCAAACAACTGCTTCTACCCAGCCCTTTGCTTTCATCCCTGTGCCCATCCATTCATCGATTAGGGTTGAAATTGTGTCTTTGGCTGGGTGTGGCGGCTCACACCTGTAATCCCAGCACTTTGGGAGGCCGAGGTGGGTGGATCACCTGAGGTCAGGAGTTTGAGACCAGCCTGGCCAACATGGTGAAACTCTGTGTCTACTAAAAATACAAATACTAGCCACGCATGACTGCACATGCCAGTAATCCGGCTACTCAGGAGGCAGAGGCAGGAGAATCACCTGAATCGGGAGGCAAAGGTTGCAGTGAGCTGCACTCCAGCCTGGGTGACAGAGCAAAACTCTGTCTCAAAAAAAAAAAAGAAATTGTGTCTTCAATGTGCCAGGGACTGTGCTAGGTGCCAAGATTCAGGGGGCAATAAAGCAGCAGTGGCAAGCTGTGCTCCAGCGGGGTTTACAGATGTATGAAAATACAGGTTTTCTTACTGTTCAGGCCTAATGAGGCCAGCAGGTCAGGAGACAACTGCCATTGGAGAGACAATTTGTTACAGTTCCTAAGCAGAGGCGGCATGCGATAATCATGCAGGGCCACGTGGGGGAAGCACGAGGGTCAGGAGGCAGCCCAAGGGGAAAACATGGGCAAGAGCCTTTACTGTGGTTTCTCTGGAAAAGGCAAGCAGGGTAAACAGGCTTCAGATGGGCTGGTTTGAGTCATTTCAGCAGGTTCTGGGGTATAGGGACTGTCCCTAGTTGTCTGGCCAGACTCTGGGGTGCTTAAGGCAGATGGGTAATGGCCTCCAGTGTGACAGCCTGATCAAGGAGGCATCTGGGTTACATCTCTGGATTCATGGCTTTGCACATTAAAGGAACACTCAGCTGTTTACTATCTCTAGGAATTAGGGGGCCCTGCCTGGGAGGGGCAGTCTCTCCAGTGTCAGCAAGGCCCCAAGTGAGCATTGGAATAAAAAGACATGCTAGAGGCCCGGCACAGTGGCTCACGCCTGTAATCTCAGCACTTTGGGAGGTCAGGGCGGGCGGATCACCTAAGGTCAGGAGTTTGAGACCAGCCTGGCCAACATGGTGAAACTCCGTCTCTACTAAAAATACAAAAATTAGCTGGTGTGGTGGCGCACACCTGTAATCCCAGCTACTAGGGAGCCTCAGGCAGGAGAATCACTGGAACCTGTGAGGCAGAGGTTGCAGTGAGCTGAGATCATGGCACTGCACCGCAGCCTGGGCCACAGAGCGAGACTCCGTCTGAGGAAAAAAAAAAAAAAAAAAAGACATGCTTAATACAGCCATCTGCAGGGGTCTCAGACTCCCAGCCAGCAGGCCGTAGATGCATTTTGCTGTTTCATGGGGTGTAAGTTTTAAACCTTTTTGCAAATGCCTGAGGCAGCGTGTGATTGTAATCTCTAGTTGGCTGCAGGTCCCACCACTCCCTATTGCCGTACCTTAGACCACTCCCATATCTGTGTCATCTGCTGGCTCCATAGTTTGTACTCTGATTTCTAGTTCCCATGTGCAGAGAGCACAGCCTGGGTGGCCTTTGCAGTCATTCATTATACCTCCAAATCCACTCTGCTTACCTGCTGGCTTTCTGAGAGTAAGTTGCACACCGTTTCTAACCTTGGTCCTGCACTGCCCCGCCTTCTCAATTGCAAAACTCCCCTCTGAGGTGTGAGGGGAATCACATCACACTTGTGGAATCCCTTTCCAAGTGCTTCTTTCCCATCATGTCATTGCAAACCCTTAAAAAGTGGGGGGACAGCTATTCCTCCTGTTTTAGAGATGGGAGCACCAAAATGATGACATGACTCACCTGAGCACATGCTTGTGGGTGGCAGAGTCTGTGACAGGAGCCAAACTTGTCTCCTACCCAGCTCCCTTTTTGGTCCATCCTTTGCCTGCCTGGACAGGGCCCCTGAGAAGTCCAGGGCTGGGGTGAACATTGGCCTTTTGGGAAAGATGCTCATCCACTCACACAACAGATGTTTAATGTGCACCTACTATATCCAGGCCAAATACTAGACACAGGAATGTAGGGGTGAAAGAATGAGGCATTAACCCTGCTCTTGGAGAGCAACTGGCCAGGAGAGGACATGAGGTCTGCATCAACAACTGCCATTAGAAAGAAAGTGACCAGCCCCCCGGGAGAGGGACAGATGGGACATGCCTGGCTGGTTGGGCTCATCTCTTCAGTTTACGAGTGGGGTTGTTTTGCCTTTCCCATAAATGTCAGGATGTTAAGCTTCATGTTGACACTGGCAGTGAAGTGATTCTTTCAAACAATGTGAGCATGAGTGCTCTGTTCTTCAGGGGATAAGCTTTTTATTTCAGTTTTAAGCGAACTCCAGATAATAAAGTGACAATCAGTTAGCTAAGTTCCCCTCATGGCTTGCTAATGAGGACACGTGTCCTTTTGTGTGTGATAGAGCTAAGGGCTGATTAATTGGTACCCAACTCTCAGGCCATGGCTCT